TACCGGGAAGTACCCAATGCCTCTACTGGATTTCCACCTGCGACCTTGGTGTTCGGAAGACCCATTTCTGGACCCTTGGCCATTCTCAGGAAGACATGGACAGACGAGGGAGCAGATGATTCCTTGAAAACCATATCACAGTATGTGCAGGAACTCAAGGATAGGTTAAAGCTAGGGTGGGACCTGGCTAAAGAGAACTTGATTCGTGCACGTAAGAGGTACGCTGCACATTTCAACCGGAAGACGAAGGAACGATGTCTTGAGGTTGGAGATAGGGTGCTTCTGCTGCTACCATCAGGGAAGTCTAAGTTAGAGTTAGCTTGGGGAGGCCCTTATACGGTGGTAGAGAAGATATCCAGGATCCATTATAAGATCAACATTAAAGGTAAGTCAAAGGTCTATCACATTAATCTCCTCCGGAAATACAACGAGAGAGAGGTAAGTGACACACCGACCCTCTTGACACTTTCTGTAGCTATGGAGGTGGAAGGTGGAGAAGCCACAGCTGTGGAATATCCTCTTCACCCCAGGGAGACCTATAAAGATGTAGAGGTTAACCCAACTCTCTCTGTCTCTCAGAAACAAGCTATAGGACAACTCTTGTCAGAGTATAACTCTGTCCTGAGAGTTAAGCCAGGGCAAACTTCATTATTGGAGTATGATGCGACATTGGTTCCTGTTGAGCCTTTCAGTCAATGCCCTGTGCAAACTCCTCTTTTTAAAGAGGAATGGAGTAAACCTCCAGACCATCAGGAGGACCAGAAGGTGAAGAATTTTCAATCCACACCAGGGTTCCTTCCTGTGTTTGTTGGAGCACATAGTGACGAGGGGAGGATTATCCTTCCGAACCTCGCGAAGGATCAGACGGGAGGGATTATATCCCACATGCCTCGACGACCTTCCTGTGTGACTACTGATGTAGGAGACACACCGGTATATTTCCTGAATATGACAGGAGTACCAGGATGGTGTGTAGGTTTATTCAGCCAACCCGATCGGGGGGTTCGGTCTGAACCTACATCTTTGCATGTACCTGGCAGGGATCAGTGGTACATGGATGGAGTCATCAGTCTTAGGTCTTCAGGGCCATCGACTGATTCTATATAGATTCCTTGTTGAGTAGTATTGTATAGTGGTCATAGGTTTCTCTATTTTCACATGAATTGTCATTATTGTATATATCACATCTGTCTCTGAGAGGTTGGTTTGGTCAACCCTTTGATTCAGAGCAGATTTCTTGAGCCGCCATCCCTTGTCTGATAATTCACAGACTGAAGGTGATGAGCAAGTTGTAAGTAGTGAGTCCATAGATGTGTAAATGGCTGATCATTTTTCATTCGCGTAGTACGCTCTTCCCTTTGGGGGGGGGGGAGGGGGGGGTACTGTCGTGAAATGATAGCCATTACGCATCGGTCTGTAAGGCTGATAACCTGTCTTACCTGTAATCTGCACAAAATTCAAACTTGGACTCGCCCGGAAATATATAGTCCCTTATATCTATATATGTAGGCCTGTATTGGACAACATTATTATGTCTGCCTTTTCTGGTTACTTTAACTAAACTCCACTTTTAAATGTATATCTCTTGGAGATATATTAAGGGAGTTATTTGAGGTTTCTTGGAAACCGATTTACTCCTTGCCCCAGTATACAAGGAACTTCTTTTGTACCAACGCCTGAAGTGTCTAAGTGACGCTATTCTCCTTGCCAGCTTCTCAAGCGTCCAGATGTGTTAATCTGTGCCTGTATAAATTTCACTTTCCAAGGCAATCTGGAATGTCTCAGTTTTTACATATGCTTGGGATGTATTTTTTCTGAAGAGCTGGCAGAAGATTCACAGTCAAACCAACATCCACCAACCATCAAACCACCAGAAACAACTTGTTACCCACCAGCTAACACCTGTGAAGGTTCCTGACATCTCCAACATGTGGGAGATGGTACCTCAAACAGCTACCAGTGCTAGAGCTTAGTGTGGCTCAAAGACATTGTGTGTCCTTACTGGTGATAGAGACTTGCTAAATACCGGTACAGTTGCTGTGTCTTCTATGGTGAAGTACTCTTTCACTATCTGATCCAGTTGAGCAGAATTACCAGAGTCAAAGACAGTCGAATCATCAGGAGCTGAGGGAGGCATCATAGACAGAAAGAGGCTAAGTGCAGTTTGACGCCTTATATGCTTTATTCCTCACAGCTCCTAGGTTGTCCGATGATGACAAGATGTCATCTCCAAGACCTTCTGTCTGTGTAGTATCTTTGTGATTTGGACAGGATATCCTGAGATCTAGCCTAGGAGATCTGGCAATTGTCTCACTTTTATATATCTATTTTATATTGATTACATGCATTCATTTTCATGGCTGACTTAGGTGTTTCTATTTCACCTTTTTAAGTGTTTAGCAGTTGTGAATGTATGTATCTTCATTATATGTGTTAACATGGTTATGATAATGAACTATCATAACCTGGGGGCTTTCTTTAGTAAGTAGTGGGGGTGTCCAGCCAAGTGTGCCTAGAAATATTGTAGTTATATACTGATATATTTTGTAGTGCCAATACTTGAGTTGCCCTACTCCAGAGATAAGTTGAGCGTATATTGGCCACGGGGAATCCCTTAGACCAATACGAGCCAAACGACTCAACATAATTATCTCTGAGTGCTGTTGGTTCTGAAGGAGAAATCCTTACATTAGGCACGCGACAGGAGTGATATGTGACAGGAGACAAAGATAGTTCATTTGGTCATTTGATGAGAAAAGGAGCAGTTAAAAATATTGGGGCACCTGGAAAGATCACTGGTAGAAGAGGCAGAAGCAGACCAAGAGAAACTATGATGGGTGGCTTAAGGCAGTGACAAGAAGGAAGATCCACAGTGGAATTCATCCAGAACGCCAACGACTGAGACCTATGGTGATGCATTAACGCCTACGCCACCTGGCAATGCACTTGATGATGATGAGACTTCATCGCCTCTTAGAACGATAACAATATTTTCAGCCCTTTATGTGTTTCCTTTAAATTGTTTATGTGTTGTTATTATTAGCTTTAGACATGTCGGTTCGGTAAAAGCCAATTCTAGGTTTTGCTGCTAAAATTGTCCCATACTACTAACTGTGTTATTATTATCTGTTAAGTAATGTATGCATGTACTTTCTGTTGAATAATGTCTTTAAAAAATAATGTATACTAGTGTAATGTTGATATTTTCACACGGGAATTACTTGGGAAATAATGCGAAGGGGGAAACCTTGAGATACGACAGAAAAACGGGATAACGCAAATACTCCTAGAAACACGAGGTACTCGTGAAGCCACGTGCAACCCAGCTCAAGGTTATAAGACTTGACAAAGGTTTTATCAGACAGTATGTGTTTGCCAGTCGATGGTTTGTTACCTGTTGGGATTGCACACAGATATCAGATAGCTGGGGAGCCACCGTGATGAAGCGGCCACATCAGCCACCAAGTGTCAATTAGTCTATTAGATATAGGCCCACAACTATATGCCTAATACGACTGAAGGCGTGGTTAAGGGCCCCTAACTTTATACCTAACCAGATGGGTTAACTGGATGTGCAGCAGCTTTCACTGCAATGTGATGCGTGGGCATCTTAACAACGTATGTTAATAGGCTTGCACCCGTGATCACTACTGTCACCTACTGTGCAGTTACAGTGCTTTGACAGAAGATGTCGCCAGAGCCATATTGTATGTGTATGGTATCCTTGAGTCCCAATGACGAAGAAACAGGAGTGGAATTCCATCAACGAAACTGCATAAACCAGTCGAACTCAGCCTTGGAGAGCAAATGTGAACACAGCGAATGCTTCCTTAACACGGTTATCCTTGAGCAAATTGTGAATTGACACCCTGTAACTGTAAGTATGTGAAGTGCTGAAGATTATGACAACAGCCAACATTTTACATCGTCTACCTTTTCTTCTGTACCAGAGACTTATGAGCCTCACAGGCGTTTGTCTTGGCCTGTTTACTCTCAGTAGAGTCCAGCTAGGAAGATGGATCCTGGCACAACATGAAGATGTGAGACAGATTGGGTTACTCAAAAGGCGCTTGCTTCATGTGACGCCAGTCCGTTTTATGCCCCCTTTAATGGGGACCAAGAACCCCGCATGAATTTTGATATATCAAGCATTGAGTATTGATTATTTCATTCCCTGTGTGGATTCAGGGCAGGTGAGATAGATACACTGCTCACTCACAAGGACCGCTTACAAGATTTTTGCCGAGAGGTGTAAATGAGCGTACCCTAGCTGTAACATGTGCCAACAGCCCTGAATCGCAGAAGAAGATGAAACGGATATTTCTTGATCAATGCTTTTGCATATTTCACTAATGCTTTAACACTAGTGGTCTCTCATCTGCAACCACTAAACCTCTTATATCTGGAGTTGTCTGTTAGCCTTCTAAACTGATCACCTTGGTACTGGGACATGGCAACCAGTCCAACTACTTTCGTAAAAGACCTATTATTTTCCCAGTCTGATGTTGTACGGAAAACATATTCTTTTTATGGTTTGTAGTTATTTGGCTTGATCCTTTTGGACCCGCCTACATCTGCAGGTAGCCATGCAGGAGACTGCAGCCTTGATTGGGGCTTGAAGTGCCCGTATTTGTGGAGGTATGCTACTGGTATATTAGATCTCTAAATGGGCCTAAATCGTCTTCTAGCGACGAGGTTGAAAAGAACTGCATCTGACATCATATCACTATTCGGCTGGAAAGGGGAAGTAAGACGCTTATCAACAGGAAACTTGAGACAATTTGTCTACGAAAACTAGGGTTTGAATATCAAAGCTGAATATTAGCACTATCGGGTCTGTGTCCAGTTATGTGTCATAGTCCTTGACCAACATAAATACCTTGGCTTACACTTGCTTGAAAATGATCGCCGTTAACTAACATTAATGTGGCGTCATCCCATCAAGTATTAACATTGTCTGGCTCTCAACTCACCAACTGTCCTACTGTTTGTGTTTTCAGTCGGAAGTGTGACGGCCAGAGTCGATGGTATGATTACTGGACCGCTATCAGAGAAATGCTGGTTTAATGTTTCTCTGCGCAGACGCCATTCTATATACGTGTTTTGCCAAAGCGGTTATACCGAGCCGTGCTACATTCACCTGACATACGGTGGGCATAGGATTTCGGCTGCGTACGATTATGGCATGACTATACCAGAAGATTTTACAGGAAATATGACCGTAGGCGTCTCTGTGTGTCGAGCAACTGACGATGGGACAAGTAACAATTGTTCAGTTCCGAGAGGTACATTTGTATTCTTTCCGTCTCTCTTTCTCTGGGACTCTTCCGCAGTTTCTGTCTGTCTCTATGCCATTCCTTCTCTCTCACTCTCTTTCTCTCTCTCTCTCTCTCTCTTTCTCTCTTTCTCTCTTTCTCTCGGACTCTTCCGCAGTTTCTGTCTGTCTCTATGCCATTCATTCTCTCTCTCTCTCTTTCTTTCTCTCTCTGTCTCTCTGTCTCTCTCTCTCTCTCTCTTTCTCTCTTTCTCTCGGACTCTTCCGCAGTTTCTGTCTGTCTCTATGCCATTCATTCTCTCTCTCTCTCTCGTTCTCTTTCTGTCTCTCTCTCTCTCTCTTTCTCTCTCTCTGGCTTTCTGTATATATCTCCCCCTCTCATTATGGGAGCCGCCGTGGTATAGCGACTAGACCCGTGCCTGCAGACAAGAAGGTCGTGTGTTCAGATCTTGGCCGAGCAGTACTTTTTTCCACTAACACAAAACAAAACACACACTTTGGCTCCCAGGTCGATCCGGCCTTTAAATGTGGACAGGTAAAGCCATGGGAGGTAAAGGCGACTGGCGTGATGTTTACCACCTCAACCACTAAGTGCCACCTAGGCTATAAAGTAAATGTCCAGCCCTGTATGTACAATACCCCATAAGGTATTCACAAGGGTCCATCACTTGACTTGACCTGATAAATAAGGTCACATAACTCAGGAAACTTCCAGGATGCTGCTCGATTTCGTCACAGTTTGTATCAAACCATCAGGGGCCTCACAAATCGTCACTGTTTGTATCTAACCATCAGGGCCTCACACTTCATCACTGTTTGTATCTCACCATCGGGGGCCTCCCAACACATCACTATTTGTATCTAACCATCAGGGCCTCTCAACACATAACAGTTTGTATCTAACTATCGGGGCCTCACAACACATCACTGTTTGTATCTAACCATCGGGGCCTCACAACACATCACTATTTGTATCTAACCATCGGGGCCTCACCACACATCACTGTTTGTATCTAACCATCGGGGCCTCACAACACATCACTGTTTGTATCTAACCATCGGGGCCTCACAACACATCACTATTTGTATCTAACCATCGGGGCCTCACAATACATCACTGTTTGTATCTAACCATCGGGGCCTCACAATACATCACTATTTGTATCTAACCATCGGGGCCTCACAATACATCACTGTTTGTATCTAACCATAGGGGCCTCACAATACATCACTATTTGTATCTAACCATCAGGGCCTAACAACGCATCACTATTTGTATCTAACCATCAGGGCCTCATAACACATCACTATTTGTATCTAAACATTAGGGCCTCACAAGACATTACTATTTGTATCTCACCATCGGGGCCTCACAACACATCAGTGTTTGTACCTAACCATCGGGGCCTCACAACACATCAGTGTTTGTATCTAACCGTCGGGGCCACACAATACATTACTATTTGTGTCTCACCATCGGGGCCTCACAATACATTACTATTTGTAACTCACCATCGGGGGCCTCACAATACATCACTATTTGTATCTCACCATCGGGGCCTCACAACACATCACTGTTTTTATCTAACCATCGAGGCCTCACAATACATCACTGTTTGTATATATCCATCGGGGCCTCACAATACATTACTATTTGTATTTAACCATCGGGGGCGTCATAACACATCACTGTTTGTATCTAACCATCGGGGCCTCACAACACATTACTGTTTGTATCTAACCATCGGGGCCTCATAACACATCAATGTTTGTATCTCACCATCGGGGCCTCACAAAACATCACTGTTTGTATCTCACCATCGGGGCCTCACAACACATTACTATGTGTATCTCACCATCAGGGCCTCACAACACATCACTGTTTGTATCTAACCATCGGGGCCTCACAACACATTACTATTTGTATCTCACCATCGGGGCCTCACAACACATCACTATTTGTATCTAACCATTAGAGCCTCATAACACATCACTGTTTGTATCTAACCATCGGGGCCTCACAACACATCTCTATCTGTATCTAACCATCGGGGCCTCATAACACATCACTGTTTGTATCTAACCATCGGGGCCTCACAACACATTACTTTTTGTATCTAACCATCGGGGGCCTCACAACACATTACTATTTGTATCTAACCATCGGGGGCCTCACAACACATCACTATTTGTATCTCACAATCGGGGCCTTACAATACAGACACATGGCTACATTTCCTGAAAAAAAAATGAGAGACACATTCCATGACTATCTTAGCCGTGTATCTTACATGAGACACATTCCATGACTATCTTAGCCGTGTGTCTTACATGAGACACATTCCATGACTATCTTAGCCGTGTGTCTTACATGAGACACATTCCATGACTATCTTAGCCGTGTGTCTTACATGAGACACATTCCATGACTATCTTAGCCGTGTGTCTTACATGAGACACATTCCATGACTATCTTAGCAGTGTGTCTTACATGAGACATATTCCATGACTATCTTAGCCGCATGTCTTACATGAGACACATTCCATGACTATCTTAGCCGTGTGTCTTACATGAGACACATTCCATGACTATCTTAGCCGTGTGTCTTACATGAGACACATTCCATGACTATCTTAGCCGCATGTCTTACATGAGACACATTCCATGACTAGCTTAAACGCCTGGCTTACACGAGACAAATTCCATAACTATCTCAGCCTCGTGGCTTAATTTAAACTTATTCCATGACTATCTAAGCTTCGTGGCTCAAATAAACAGAGGGGGGAACCATTTGAGGCCGTTAAATATTATGAATTAATCAAGTGACAGAAAGTATTGTGAACGGCACTCATAGAAAGAAGTAGAAAGATAGAAGAACACACTAGACAACATAAAAATCGAAAGCTATAGTTACCGTGCCGGGAATTGAACCTGTCACCTCCAGACGGCGTCTGCGCCTCGCCATGAATACAAGTGCACTAAGATACATGGTCAACTAGGCACCCCCAAAAAAAAGGTGTCTCATTGGCCATGTCTATCGTACAGCTTGAAATCCACGACTATGGAATACGGACATAATTCATTTCAACCCATAGTGTGTTCTTCTATCTTTCTACTTCTTTCTATGAGTGCCGTTCACAATACTTTCTGTTACTTGATTAATTCATAATATTTATCGGCCTAAAATGGTTCCTCCCTCTGTTTATTTATAGGAATGACGTATACACACCGGAACCTGCCAATCAAATACCTTTCTTAAATGTTTGTGTATTCTAGCCTATGGTGCCATTTCAATGGGTTGAAATGAATTCTGTCCGTATTCCATAGTCGTGGATTTCAAGCTGTACGATAGATATGGCCAATGAGACACGTGGCTTACATGAGACAGATTCCATGACTATCTCAGCCTCGTGGCTTACATGAGACAGATTCCAAGACTATCTCAGCCTTGTGGCCTACATGAGACATATTCCATGACTATCTCAGCCACGTGGCTTACATGAGACATATTCCATGACTATCTCAGCCACGTGGCTTACATGAGACATATTCCATGACTATCTCAGCCGCGTGGCTTACATGAGACATATTCCATGACTATCTCACCCACGTGGCTTACATGAGACATATTCCATGACTATCCCACCCACGTGGCTTACATGAGACAGATTCCATGACTATCTCACCCACGTGGCTTACATGAGACATATTCCATGACTATCTCAGCCACGTGGCTTACATGAGACATATTCCATGACTATCTCAGCCACGTGGCTTACATGAGACATATTCCATGACTATCTCAGCCACGTGGCTTACATGAGACATATTCCATGACTATCTCAGCCGCGTGGCTTACATGAGACAGATTCCATGACTATCCCACCCACGTGGCTTACATGAGACATATTCCATGACTATCTCAGCCACGTGGCTTACATGAGACATATTCCATGACTATCTCAGCCGCGTGGCGTGGCTTACATGAGACATACCCAGACGTACTGCGGCTCTCGAGTGTCTACATTGTACCAGACGAGAGCATGAACAATTAATTGTGTAGTCTGGTTGAAGGTAGTGTGGTTTTTTGTGTTGTTTTTGTTCAGCTTTGTATGAAATGTGCTGACTCGATAACTCGAGTTTTGTTAGAATAGTTGCTGATTTGTCGGCTGAAAAATATTTGCTTGTCAGATGTGAATATGACTGGCTGAAAAATTGTTCATTTTTGTGATGACGAGTTGGTTGGTTTGGCTGCTGTGTTGTCGTCTTACGGAAAGGCATTGATGACCACAAGATGTACAGTATTATATTCTAAACATTTAGTACAAGCGTTTAAATGATATTTTTGTACAGTATGTATTTGTAACAGATGTAAAATGTAAACACTCATATGTCATTTCTGTTTTATTCACAGCTATAACTGCAGCAGGTAAGTATATTCTCGGGTTATGTCTTGTTTTAATTAGATTGTTTTATCCTCAGTAACGCTGATGACGTTCCTTCCATAGAGAGCAAGCCACTTGGACGAGCCTGTTATCTTGGTCGCCATACTTTTACAAGTTAAACACACACACACACAAACACACAGATTTGTATACATACATACTTGCAGTACAGTGAAACGTGATTTCCAACTTGTGTCGCGTGGTCTAAAAGCACAAACATACAAGCTTTCAGTTTAGAACATATATAACATATATAAATGCCACTCAAGCTGCATCGTATATTTCATAAGTCAATTTTAATAATAAATGTTGTTCATCCAGGTATACAGCAGTTGTAGGCTTCAGTACCGCTTTATCCATGTGACTTCCCCTTGATGTCCTCGTTTTATGAGGCTAAATATTGGTAATAAGAAAAAACCTTTTTGGAAGATGCTGAAATGATATTTTTATACACAAATGATGACAACACCCTGGACAGATTCAAAGAAAAGAGCAACAAGGATGTATTGAAAGACACTGACTCACGAAGAGAGCCGATTACCTACACCCGAAAGAGACAGTCTACATTCTTTGATCGTGTGATGAGAAGGAGAACACTGGAGTGCATGCTGACAGTAGGAAAGATAGAGGGCAAGAGAGGCACAGGAAGACCGATTGGAAAGATGTCGGGCAGTTTGACATTACGGCATGGAGGATCATTTGTGACAAAGTTGATTGAATATATACGAGACAGAAGGTTATGAATAGACATGACTACCGCTCTTTAGACAGTATCTAGATAGCAGTTATCATATTATTTACATTTAATCATTATTTCAACCAAAGTATTCTGTTCAGAAAGACATAGAAACCATGATAGGAAACTGGCATCAGAATATTACCGATGATAAACTGTGTGGATGTGTGTCTGTTGTCTTTAACAAAGCTTCTGACATGATAGATCATTCTATTTTTATTAGAAAACTTTCAATTATAACGTTTAGCAGTAATCTAATACGGTTTTGGCATCCTTTCTGATAAATAGAAACAGGTAACTGTATAAATAAATCCTTATAACAGACAACTACCGTTTGTATTGGAATTTCTCAAGGTTGTATTCTTAGCCCTCTATTTTTGCCATTTATATAATCGATCTTTCTTTTCATGTCTGCCTCGCCCTGTGACCTATTTGCAGACCTCTGTACAGCAATGTCTACGTGCTCAACTTGTAATTATTATAATCATCTCCACGACAGATAAACAGTATAGTTTCCTGCAACTATGCAAAACATATACACTGGTAAAACCAAATGTATGTTAATGTCAAAAAGTCCACAAAAATATACTCTTTAATGTCACATATGAGTCTTCAAATCTACACAGTTAAACAACCTAGTGGGATGTGTAAATGCCCAAACAACGTTATGTCTGATTATTGATAGAAATGTAACTTTCCTTTCACATGTACAAGCGCTAGTGAAACAAACAGTTTAAAAACAAAGATAAGAAAAGTATACCATCTTGAAAAAGTTACAAACTTTTTGAATGAAAACACTAGAAGGATGATTTATAGCTCCACTAATCCGACCCATCTAGACTACTGCTCCCCTTTATGGTATGGTTCTTTATTACAACCAAAAACCAGTTCAAAGTACCTCAAAAAAAAAAAACGTCAGTGCGCTTCGTCAGTACTCATCAGGGAAAAGAAAGCTCCAGTAAAAGTCGTAAGCAATTACCGCCCCATAAACGAATGAATTTTAGTAAGGCTAAAGTTTTGGCATTAAATCTTATCTAAAATGCCCAGATCACGTTTAGCTATTCTTTAAGCATAATGAACGAAACAGCGAACGCTTAAACATATATAAAAAAAAAAAAAAAATAGGCGTCTACAAAACAAGCTTGCGTACTCTGCAAATTATCTGTGGAACTAACGTCCACCGCTAAATAAAAAATATAAAAAAAAAGTATCAATCACCCCTATCAATACCATTTGAAGGTATTTGAATATTGTATCATTTCAGACTACAAGTCTATTTCAAAGCTAAAGATATTATAAGGAAACTATGAATTTCCACCAAGATTTATAATACTTAGCATCATAACCATTTTTGAATTGTGTTAAACTTAGATGCATTGTAGCTAAGATGTTGTTGATGATATTTGTCGTTAGTGTTATCTACTAAGGTAATGAATGAATGAAAGAAGCAGAATGTAAGACAGGCCTGTGTGCCTAATTCTTAACCCTTTGAAAATAAAGTTTATTCTTTATTTGTTGTTGGTGTATTTACTCTTGGTGTAGCGTGCCATCTTTGGAAGTTCGTCATCTTGATTGCCATCTTAGCGGAGCCCTTTATCTTGGGAGAGCCTGTCATCTTAAATGGGGTAGCAACCCTCATGCTTTACGATTCATATACCAGGGGCCTCTTTAAACAAGTTTTCATTTGTACAATATAAAAACATACTCCCGTATGCACTGATCACGCCACTGACCACTGCCAACCTCAAATGAGCAACGGAACACTTAATTAAATAATAAAAATAATAGCACCATATACAGTGAACACTGCTGACAAACAGAACATTAACATGCCATTGCAGCACCAAGCCGTCTTGGGGGAGCGCTGTCCTTTTGAACCTTCCGGATCGTCCTACTATATAAAAAATCATACCTTCTCCCGGCTTCTGCTGCGCCTACTATACACAAGTCATATCTCCTCCTGGCACCTACTATACACAAGTCATATCTCCTCCTGGCACCTACTATACACAAGTCATATCTCCTCCTGGCACCTACTATACACAAGTCATATCTCCTCCTGGCACCTACTATACACAAGTCATATCTCCTCCTGGCACCTACTATATACAAGTCATATCTCCTCCTGGCACCTACTATACACAAGTCATATCTCCTCCTGGCACCTACTATACACAAGTCATATCTCCTCCTGGCACCTACTATATACAAGTCATAACTCCTCCTGGCACCTACTATATAAATTTTCTTGAGGCGTAAATGCCACCAGATGTGAACGCCATTTACTACTCTATGCATCACATAAGTGTGTTTGTAAGCATACACAAATATTAATATTGACACAATAGATATTACACAAGATGGGCAAGGGATTGGCTAATTGAAGTATTCAAGATGTTGGCGTCACTGGCATTGGGACACTCGACCATGTTCTCAGTAAACAAAGAGCACTGATGTTGATTACCCCAGTGGCGGCTTTTCTGGGAGTCCTTGCTCCGTTGTGTTAAGTGCACACAAGATAAGTCACAAATTCAATCAGATACATGTTCAACGTTTGGAGAATTAGTCTGTTTCAAGGATTTATGTGTACGCTGCAGAAACATCGGAGGCAATGAAAAGTACCATATGCTAAGCAAATATAAGGGCCCAAGCACAGCCATGCATTGCACGAGTAGAGTAAAGAAGTGAAGCACAAAATTCAAACTTCTACCTTCGGATGCAAGCGATTTCATATTAAACATAACAACTTCCGACTGTGCAACTGTAGATCACATTTTTGTGTTCAGCTCCTTTACTTTCATCTGCACTCCTAATCGGCAGTTTTTTAGTCAGCTTGAATACGGTGTTGTTTTTGCTGTGTTTTGTTTTGTGTTAGCGATAAACAACAAAAACTGCATTTATGCGCATTCTGTTTGTGTTTCAGACCTCACTACTTCAACTACAACCGGTAAGTGTATTTTAATTTGGCAAAGCCAGACTCTCTTGGCATGACTACAGCCTCGTGTCTCTTGTTTGGGTCATTTTTTTCTTCTGTAAAATGATTTTTTTCCCCTCAGCTTTAGGCATCATGGGCATATAAGGCTAGACCTATATTTAAGAGACCATTAGGCACTTACCACGACATAAGAAACTCAAGACAGCTTATGATCACTGTCTGTTGACTGAATGTTGGCGCTAAAACTGGTGTGTGCTAACTTGGGTTTACAGCAACCAGCACACGGCCTAGTGTCTATGAGTACATTTCACGCTCCCCACACACAACCCGCAGGAAAACTCAACGACGTACTGTCCGCCATATAAGCACATTCATTGTTACGATCACACGCAATAATGCAAGCGAAGTGATGTAGACATCTGTCCTGGCTTACATGCAACACATAGCACTGACTTCGCTCACTTCTCAGATATAGCGTCGCTCTCCCGGACAGCTAACAACAGCCTCTGCTATGCACGAGCTGGCCGCTACATTTCTATGACTACAGCGTCCCGCAACTCGGGGCCCACTGTACAGACGAACAGGATATCTCCCCTGATCAACGGGACCTTTGCTGCTCTATTCGAAGCAGGCAAATCGGCTGAGTGGAAACGCAACTTTACTAGTTTCCCAGCATGTGCACACAGCACGTCTGCCGCCTAGTAGAAGGAACTCCGATGATCGGCAGAACACCTGGCTCTGAGTCGCCTTCAGCACACAGCTATCGCCTGCATCTCCGCTGTCTTGTTTCACTAGTGACCATCTCGCTTACATGCGTCGTCACCCAAAACAGCGTCTCTTGAGAAGCCTAGCTCACTTGGCCTGACTTGCCAACTGGACTCTCCTTTCTTCGGCTACACTATCGAACCGTCTCTCTAGTCAACTGTTTGAGGTCCCAACTGCTACTGCTCAACAGTCCACTCAACCCCCAGTATATACCCCTGCATGCCCCTTGTGAGCTGCGTGTGCACACGAGACGCAAGTTGTCACGCATCCCATACTTCTTCCGTGCGCCAGCGCTATCTCGCCCAAATCATGAGAGTTAACCCACACTGTCTAATACCTCTTGAATCCACTGGTCCATCCCGTACCAAGCCACTTCCCACGCTCCACAGTATTGACTCGACCGAAAGATATTTCCTGGCTATAGTCAACACTATCGCAAATAATGACACACGTCACCTGACATTCCCGTGGACTACTGAAATCACTATTCATACCCGTTGTCCCCCTACAACGTTCACCAGAATCAGCACGCAACATTGGGACATGAATGGTTTGTTTCTTGTGGGGATTTTATGCCAAAAGGAGGGAAATTCAATTCGCAAGCTTAAATTAGGACAGTAAACAAGTCAGCGTGTTCAAAAAGATTTGCTGCACTGACCTGTTTCTCCTTCATCACAATGAGCGGCCTCAAATAAGTGTGAGAACACTGGAGGCAATCAGTAAGCTGGATTGGACTTTACTACACAAGTGTGACAACACTGTAGACAATCAGTAAGCTGGATTGGACTTTACTACACAAGTGTGACAACACTGGAGGCAATCAGTAAGCTTTAATTGGACTTAACTCCACACGTGTGACAACACTGGAGGCAATCAGTAAGCTGGATTGGACTGTACTACACAAGTGTGACAACACTGGAGGCAATCAGTAAGCTGGATTGGACTGTACTACACAAGTGTGACAACACTGGAGGCAATCAGTAAGCTGGATTGAACTGTACTACACAAGTCTGACAACACTGGAGGCAATCAGTAAGCTGGATTAGACTCTACTACACAAATCTGGCAACACGGGAAGCAATCAGTAAATTCAATTTGACAGTACTAAACAAATGTGACAACTCAGTAAGCAATCAGTAAATTCAGTTGCACTGTACTACCCCATCCACCCTATAGACCCTATCAGGCACTCTTTGATTTTCTTCTGTTTGGTCTACAAAGGTAAACGATTTGAAATGGATGAGGGAGTAATTTTTGGGGAATTAGGAAATGACAAAGGCGAAACGATAATACACGTGGAAAAGTCTAGAAAAGAAAACATCTAATCAAATAGATTATATACTAATTAACAAAAGGTTTAGAAATGCACTAAAAAATGTGAAGACAAGACCCAGTGCTGACTGTAACAGTGACCACGTCCTATTATTTGGAAAATTAAATGTACGACTGAAGAGGGGGAAAGAAAGAGATGATTATAGACTAAACAAAGATATTCTAAGAGAGGATACAGAAATTCAGGAGCCATATAGAGTGATTGTGAGGAACCGGTACAATGCAATAACAAAAATACAAACGGTAAGCGATAAGTGGGAAATGCTGAAAGAGTCTATCCACAAAACAAGCAAATAGATTTTACCAGAAAGAAGACAAATAGCTAAACAGAAATGGATGACCGAAGAAATTTTTCTGGTAATGAGTGACGGAAAATTAGGTATTAATGACAAAGAAGAATAAAACACGATAAAGAAATAAAAAAGAAATAAGGCATACATGAATGAAGTCAAAAGAAGATTGGCTTAATTATCAATGCAATAAAGCTGAACACAGTCCTGTTAAAGATGCAAAAAGTGTACATAAACAAATTAACGATCTGACTAGACGAAAGACACCAGTAAACACAGAATGTCTGAAATCAAAAGCAGGAGAGATCTTAATGGAGAAAGATGATATAATAAATAGATGGAATTATTACATAAAAGAGTTTTATGATGGAAAGAGAGTAGAATTACCAGAAGAAAGAAATTCAGAAGTTATGTCTATACTAAAGGAAGAAGTTAGCGATGCTATTAAACAAGTGAGGAAAGGAAATTCAACTAGGCCAGATGAAATTTTAATAGAATAATTAGAAGTTCTACTGGGGGAAATTTGGGGTTGAAATATTACCTAAACTGATGAATGACATTTATAACACTAGGTACATACCAAGTGATATATTGAAATCTTTATTTATTGAGTTACCCAAAAGACCAGGAGCAATTGAGTGTGAAGAATTTCGTACAATCAACTTAATAAATCATGTCACCAAATTACTACTTAGAATTATAATAAGAAAAAAAAAAAAAAGAATGGAATTGAGTAAAAAGCAGTATGGATTTATGGAAGGTGAAGGGACAAGTAATGCAATATACATATTACGAACACTGATAGACAATGGACATACATAAGGACTTATATTTGTGCAATATAGATTAAACCAAAGCATTTGACAAAGTTAAACACGAGGAGATTATAAAAATATTGCAAGACATCAATGTAGACGGGAGAGATCTCAGGTTAATTAAAAACATTTCCTGGAACCAAGTAGCAGCAATTAAAGTGCGAAACAAATTGGGTACTTTTATACAGATAGCGCAAGAAGTAAGACAGGGATGTGTCTTATCCCCAGACCTTTTCTCTCTAAAAAGTGAAATCTTTTGGGGTGAAATTAAAGAGAAAGCGGGAATACGAGTTGGAAGATACAATATAAAAAATTTGCGTTATGCAAATGATACCGTTTAAAAAAAGCCACACACACACACACGCACACACACACACACAAACACACACATGGAATAATGGTTATATAAAAGAAGAAGAAAACTCCACGTTGTGAAATCTCAATTAAAGGAAAAAGACTTAACCAAGTCAATAAATTCAAATATGTGGGAACAATCATATCCTCAAATGGAAAATGACTGACAGAGAATAATAGCAGAATAGTTCTAGCGAAAGATGCATTTCAGAAAATGAAAAATATGCATTAAATCGCTCTCATTTAATGTCAGAAAGAGAGATCTAAAATGTGACATAGAACCTGCTTTGCTGTGTAGCAGCGAATCTTGGAATGTCACCTAACAAATTAAGAAGAATATGGAAGCAACAGAGATATGGTTTTTGAGACAAATGTTACGAATACCTAGGACGGCCTTGGAGTCGGTAACAATACTTGCTTGAACAAAGCCAATGAACGTAGATCTTTATATACAACAATATGAAAGAGACAAACACTGTTCTTTGGCACATGATGAAAATGGAGATACTAGAGAACATTGTGACAACTTAAAAGATCAGTGGAAAAACGGGTAGAGGCAGACCAAGAGAGATGATGCTGGATGGGCTGAAATGATGGCATGGAGAGATATCGTCAAGAGAGCTGTTCCAGGCAACCAGGGATCGTGATATGTGGAGACGCATAAGCGTCTACGCCAGTTGGCAGGGGACATGACGATGATGATAAAGGAGTAATCCATAAAACGAAGAAATGGCTACGCAATAGACAAAACATGGTACTAAATATCAATATTTACACTTATTTTGGGGTGGCCGTAAAATTTAATGAGGAATTATGTTGAATAATACAGATGGTTATCTGACCTATCCATATATATTATGTACACATTTAATGCTTTTTCAGTATATAAATCTTAAGTAAATACGATGAGGTGAATCACTTTCTGAACGCTACTCTCATATTACAGACAGACAGATTCATCGAATAAAGAATAATGTAGTATCCTAGTGTGTATGTTGCTAGGATGTGTGTGTGTATGTGTGGGGGGGGGGAAACACACACACACACACACACACACACACACATACATACTTACCACAAATATTCGCAAAGCAACAATAAAAGTTTGAACACATTATTGAACCATATATATGTTGTTTTAAAACAAAGTTGCGTATTTTTTATTATAATTTACTTTCAATTCTAACGCAAGCCAGTTACTGAACCCTACAGTCAACGGACGAATTTTAACTGCATTTGGAAACAGATGCCTAATGAAATTGATAAACAGTAAATGTAAAAAAGTTCTTAAAGGTAAGAAAGTAACAGACATTTCTGCATGGTCACTTGTATTCTCAGACACGTTGCGAAGAAGAAAGGTGTATGTATATTCAGTGAAGAGAAACGAACAGAGAATCACGGGAAATGTATGCAAATGGGAAGAATACAAACGAAGGAAACAACTTCTAACTGTTCAAACGTAGAACAAATTTGTGTTAAGCTCTTTTACTTTCATCTGCAATCCTTTATCGGCAGTTTGTTAGTTAGCTTGAATACGGTGTTGTTTTCGTTGTTTTTTTTTTTTTTTTTTTTTTGTGTGTTTTTTTGTATTATTGCATAAATAACCCATAAATTCATCCATGTTCATTCTTTTTGTGTTTCAGTCTCCACTACCACAAGCACAACTGGTAGGTGTATTTTTGTTGCTAAGTCAGACTCTCATTCTTTGAGTACAGCCTCGTGTCTCTTGTTTAGGTCATTGTGGGCATATTAGGCTAGACCTATATTTTGGAGATCCTTCAGGACTTACCACGACATAAGAAACTCAAGACAGCTCCGTCAGTGGTAAAGGTAACAATCACTGTCTGTCGGGACATGGAAGGTTTGATTCTTCTGGGGGTTTTATGCCAAAGGGAGGGAAATTCAATTCGCAAGCTTACATTAGGACAGTTTAACAACTCAGTCAGCGTGTTCACAAAGACTGGCCGCACTGACCTGCTTCTGCTTCATGTCAATACGCGCTATCACACACAAGTCTGACAACACTGGAGACACTCAAAAATTGGACTGGACTGTACCACACAAGCATGACTACACGGGAGACAATCAATAAATTTGACTGGACTGTACTACACAAGCATGACTACACGGGAGACAATCAATAAATTTGACTGGACTGTAGTACACAAGTCTGACAACACGGAAGGCAATCCGTAAATTGGACTGGACTGTACTACACAAGTCTGATAACATGGGAGGCAATCAGTAAATTCAGTTGCCCTGTACTACCCATCCACCATATAGGCCTGATTTTTCACCGTTTGATTTTCTTCTGTTTGGTCTATAAAGGAACAGGATTTGAAGATAAAGGAGTAATTCATTCAGCGAAGAAATAGCTACGAGGTAAAGACGAAACGTGGTGGGGTTAGAAGCATATACACTTGTTTTGCATTGGCATTGGGCCGTAAAAATGTATAAGGATTTGTCCTCGTGTGGGTTCTGGGACCTACAAGAAGAGACCCACAGCTACACAAAAAAATGTCGCAAGAGTCGACTAATTGGGATCTTCCTTCGTAGTCAGAGTGCAAAGAACCTACAGTCTGCATACAAGTAAGTCAGATCTGTAAAACGGGTGCACATGCAGCACTCAGGTTCTGGTACAGGACTACAGTCCAGAAGTGGACGAAAGACCAGAACTTTCCACCGAAGTTTACAGATGGTGAACGCGAAGACGAAGAAGAAGAATGGGGAATATGTTGAATAATAGAGATGTTTATCTGACCTATCCATACATATTATGTTCACATTTATTGCTTTTTTAGTATATATATCTTGAGAAAATACGAAATATTTTCTGAACATCTCTCAGATTACAGACTGTGAGATTGATCGAGTATAAGAATAATGTATTATCATGTTGTGTATGTTGCCAGGATATGTGAAAACACACACACACACGCACACACTTACCACATGTATTGGCAAGTCAAAAATTAAATTTTGAACACATTACTGAACCTCAAACATGTGGTTTTTAAACCAAGTTGAATTTTTTTTCATTATAATTTACTTTCAGTTCTAACACTAACCAGTGATAGTTGCAGAATCCTACAGTCATAGGACGAAATTCAATTGCACTTTAAAACGGATGCCTAATGAAATTGATAAACAGTAAATGTAAATAGGTTCATAAAGTTGAGAAAGTAACAGACATGTCCGCATGGTCGCTTGTATTATCAGACATGTGGGGAAGCAGAAAGTTTTATATTTGGGCGTATGGTGGAGAGAAATAAACAGAGAATTACTTGATATCTGTGCAGATGGGGAGAATAGGGACAGAGGAAACAACTTTCGACTGTAAAACCGTACAACCAATTTGTGTTAAGCTCTTTAACTTTCATCTGCAATCCCTTATCGGCAGTTAATTAGTTAGCTTGCATGCGGTGTTGTTTTCGTTGTGTTTTTTTTTTTTTTGTATTATCGAATAAATAACCCAAAAATTCACCCATGCTCATTCTTTTTGTGTTTCAGTCTCCACTACAAGTACAACTGGTAGGTACATCTATTGTTGCTAAGTTGGACTCTCAATGTATGAGTACAGCTTCGTGTCTTTTGTTTGGTTCATTATTTCTGTAAAATGACTTTTTTTCTGCAACTTTAGGCATCATGAGTACATAAGGCTAAACCTAAATTTTAGAGAACATTGAGCACTTACCACGACATAAGAAACTCAAGACAGCTCCGTCAGTGGGAAAGGTAACAATCACTGTCTGTTGGGACATGGAAGGTTTGATTCTTGTGGGGATTTTATGCCAAAGGGAGGGAAATTCAATCCGCAAGCTTACATTAGGAGAGTTAAACAACTCAGTCAGCGGGTTCACGTAAACTGGCTGCACTGACCTGCTTTTGCTTTTTGACGATGAGCGCCCTCAAACAAGTATGACAACACTGAAGGCAATCAGTTAGCTGGATTGGACTTCACTACACAAGTGTGAAAACACTGGAGGCAATCAGTTAGCTGGATTGGACTTTACTACACAAGTGTGACAACACTGGAGGCAATCAGTAAGCTGGATTGGACTTTACTACACAAGTGTGACAACACTGAAGGCAATCAGTTAGCTGGATTGGACATTACTACACAAGTGTGACAACACTGAAGGCAATCAGTTAGCTGGATTGGACTTTACTACACAAGTGTGAAAACACTGGAGGCAATCAGTTAGCTGGATTGGACTTTACTACACAAGTGTGACAACACTGGAGGCAATCAGTAAGCTGGATTGGACTTTACTACACAAGTGTGACAACACTGAAGGCAATCAGTTAGCTGGATTGGATTTTACTACACAAGTGTGACAACACTGAAGGCAATCAGTTAGCTGGATTGGACTTTACTACACAAGTGTGAAAACACTGGAGGCAATCAGTTAGCTGGATTGGACTTTACTACACAAGTGTGACAACACTGGAGGCAATCAGTAAGCTGGATTGGACTGTCCTACACAAGTGTGACAACACTGGAAGCAATCAGTCAGCTGGATTGGACTTTACTACAAAAGTGTGACAACACTGGAGGCAATCAGTAAGCTGGATTGGACTTTACTACACAAGTGTGACAACACTGGAGGCAATCAGTAAGCTGGATGGGACTTTACTACACAAGTGTGACAACACTGGAGGCAATCAGTAATCTGGATTGGACTTTACTACACAATTGTGACAACACTGGAGGCAATCACTAAGCTGGATGGGACTTTACTACACAAGTGTGACAACACTGGAGGCAATCAGTAAGCTGGATTGGACTGTACTACACAAGTGTGACAACACTGGAGGCAATCAGTCAGCTGGATTGGACTTTACTACACAAGTGTGACAACACTTGAGGCAATCAGTAAGCTGGATTGGACTGTACTACACAAGTGTGACAACACTGGAGGCAATCAGTAAGCTGGATTGGACTGTACTACACAAGTGTGACAACACTGGAGGCAATCAGTAAGCTGGATTGGACTCTACTACACAAGTGTGACAACACTGGAGGCAATCAGTAAGCTGGATTGAGCTGTACTACACAAGTCTGACAACACTGGAGTCAATCAGTAAGCTGGATTGGACTTTACTACACAAGTCGGGCAACATGGGAGGCAATCAGTAAATTCAGTTGCCCTGTACTACTCCATCCACCCTATAGACCTGATCTGCCACCCTTTGATTTTCTTCTGTTTGGTCTATGAAGGAACAGGATTTGAAGATGATGAAGGAGTATTTCATTAAGCGAAGAAATAGCTACGCGATAAAGACGAAACGTTGTAGGGTTAGAAACATACACCTGTTTTGCTTTGGCAATAAGTTGTAACAATTTGTAAGGATTATTCATCGTGTGGGTTCCGGGGCCCTATTGTATGTAAACAAGAATGGACCCACAGCTACACAAAAGAAAGTCGTAAGATTCGACTAATTGGGAGCTTTTGTAATGAAATATAGGCAGAAAGGGGTTAAATGAACAAGCATACATTTCAGCCCACCACACGGCGTACTAATCCATCACTATGTGAAATGACAGAATGGGTGATTAGAAAGCCATGGCCTAGCCAGCTATGCAGAACACACCGCCATGACATCTGACAGTGAGGGATGAAACATTCGACGAGTGCCCGTGAGCTGTGACCAGCTGACGAGATACGTTCATCCAAACGTGACCACCAAGGACAGGTGACAGGGGAGTGATTAAGATGGTACACCAGGAGGAGCGGGAAAGCGGTGGAATAAAGTCAGAGCCAGGGGCTTGAGAAGTTAGTTAGCCCCGGAACCGCCATGAGAAGACAGTTAGGGCTAGACCGCTAGAGAAACCGGTTAGGAGAAAACTAGTGCTTTACTTCGTTTAGAAGAGTATGTTAAACTTAGAGTTTAACTAGAACAGTGAGTTAGCCCCGGAACCGCCATGAGAAGACAGTTAGGGCTAGACCGCTAGAGAAACCGGTTAGGAGAAAACTAGTGCTTTATTTCGTTTAGAAGGTATATGTTAAACTTGGAGTTTAGCCAGAACAGTGGTTAAGGAACTCGTAGAGGCATACGAATAGCCAGTAATAAGGAGTGTTCATATACTATTGCTTATTGAATTTATGAAATGTGTGTGACGAGAATATTATGAATAAACCAGCTCTTATGTAATTGATTACATCACTGGCCTTGTTCTTGAGTACGATTGAAGAGAGATACGAACCATATTCATTCCACTTGGCCGACTTAGGCACATCTATTTCTTGGGGTATGTATAGGCACGACTGTGCCACAAGTGTGAGGATATTTGGATGCCGTGACCAACGATCAGTCTTGTGTACTCGACATCTTTAAAAAACAAGACTGCTGTTACAACATAACAAATAAGCAAGTGCTATAAAAAGGTGAACTAAAAGCAAGTTTATGATTGTGCCTGCTGAGTAAGAAAAGTCGAGAAAAACCGTCATCAGAATAGAGAGACGTAAACCAGACCAACAGCCTGCACCACCTTTTGGAGCCAACCGTCTACACTAGAATCAGGGGGACACGCCCGTTCTAGCCTGGAGCAAACCGTCTACACTAGAATTAGGGGGACACGCCCGTTCTAGCCTGGAGCCAACCGTCTACACTAGAATCAGGGGGACGCGCCCGTTCTAGTCTGGAGCCATAATATAAACTTTTCCTAACTTTACACACTCGGAAGACTATAGGAAAGTCAAGAACTGTGAGCTGTCCGATTTTTCAAATAGGAACTGCAAAATAAGCGCGAATTTAAAGAACCTTGAACATTAATATTAATTAGTTTAAATATATTGTGATTTTTAATTTACAGTGGTGTAAGGAAAACCTTTTCTTATCTTTTCCTACCTTTCTTCCTGAACGTAGAAAATAATTCCAGGACAGTGCCGATTTTTAATTACAAGGTGTTGTGAAACGAGAATTTTTTTTCAGACCGCACTTAACAAGGTAATACGACATTTTCTGTTTTAAATTCTATTTTAGTTTACATTAGTTAATTTTCCAGGTTTTAATAATGGCATATCAAGGAACAGTGAGAGCACAGTTTAGCAGAGTTTTTAATGAAGTAGCACAGTTAGGTAGAAAACTCCGTATTCCATTTTTTATAGAACAAAGAACTGCTCAACATTGGTCAACTGTAGATAGTCGTAGACAAAGACAGAGAGAAAGAAATTATAACATAGCTACAGTCACTAGAAGTAACGGCGAGGTTAATCGACTGTCCGGTTTCCCAGACAGGCGAAATTATGCTAACGAGAGATTGCAATACCCTAGAGACAATCAGTACCGCAGACCAGACAACACAAGAGCGTACGAGAAAAATCAGGGTCAACTGAGGTCATGTGTACAAAATGAACGAGGGCATTTTAAAAATTTCCATAGAGCAGACAGGTTGAGAAAATTAGAAAATAATAGACATATAAGAGCACAGGAGCAGTGGCATAATAATAGTAACAGATATCAGAACATAAATAGAGTAGGAAATATCCATGATAATAACCGAAGTCGAGTCAGGTCATGTAATCCAGATTCCAGATTTAGCACGATGAGCACTAATCAAGATTACAGGGCCGCTTGTACGACCCATAATCAAGCCAACAAATTCAAAAGAGACAGGTTAAGAAAATTAGGCTACAATAAGAATATAAGATTGCAAAACTTAGAAAATAATCGCGAGGTCAGTAACCATAACGGATTATGGCAGACAGGTAATAAAAGCACGTGCGCTGCTGATGATGAGACAAACAGATTAGAAGTAAGAGGGTTAAAAGAGAGGAATCCCATGAAACGGTTTAATGAAAGCTACATTAACAAAGTAAATGCGGTAACTGTAAACGGGACACGCGGTCAATACTTTAAAGAAGAAGGGAACATAGAGACACATAAAGAGTTAATACCGGCCAACGTTAAGTCGGAAAAAGAAGAAGATAAAGAGGGTTGTTTGGCAATGGAATGGTTATGGGAAGTAAACGCGGTAGAAGTAAAAAGGCTAGATAGCAATAGCACACATAGGAAAGTAGAGAGGGTAGGGACAATTAAAGAAAGAAATCAGCAGGATTTGTCTTATAGACAGGTGATGCCTACAGAAGAAGAAGGTGAAGGAATAAATACATTACCGTTTGTAGTTAGTAACATAAAGGTAGATTTATTCTCAGAAAACTACGACGCTGATAATGAATTTGGGATCACAAACAAAACGGGTCGTATAATTTTAGTCGCGGTTAGAACCAGGACTAATACTCCGTCTAGTGTGAAAGAATTAAAACCGTCAGAAGTACCAGTTAAAGGTACATGTAATAGTAGAAGAGAAGAAGAAGAAACAGTAGAAACTTCGCCTAACAAAAGAGCAAAACAGGAGACAAGAATGTCGGGCATTAAAAATTCGCATACCGATTTAAACGAGCGGCATGGTTTACAGAAAAATAAAGATGTGAGAAAATCAAATGTATTAGATGGAAATTTACACGGAAATAAAAGTAGCCAGAAGTTTCGTAATGAAGTGGCATCTACCGAATATAGCAAAATTAATAAGTTGTTCAACTTTATTTCAGAGCTCTGGAGCATCTAATAAATGGCATACACGACACCTTTTAGTATAATTAAGGCTAACACATATGTACGATGTATAACTTGATTTACAAGGAAATACTTTAAATACACACAGAAACAGGATCATACTGATATCTGGATTATGCGTATTGATGGGACTTATAACTTTTCTTTATTTGCGACGGAAAGGCTTTAAATGTACAAAAGTAACTAATCATTTAATAAAAGAAAAAACACACATCACTAATGAGACAGAAGAAGAAATAGAACTAGAACAATTAGCATCCACTACAGTTAGTAGGCCAGAATCATCAGGGGGTAGACTGAATTTATACCCTGAGTAAATCATACATCAAATACAGCTCCCCCCCCCCCCCACCCTTTCTTCCCCCATGACTGACTGAAATGGGATCGTTCGTAAAATGGTTCAATAAATGTGGGATTGTAGGGTGTATAACAAGTAATTAGTTTTATTAATTACAATTTACGTACGCTATATTGCTGTGTACAGAGGTACCGCGCTCGCTACACATATTCTGTTGTTGTGTCTACATGTCATTTGTCCGACAATATTAAATATATACCTGTTGTTTTGTCCCTACCATTTAATATTTACATGCGGTTTTGCACTATGAACGTTTTTTTTTTTTTTTGTCGTGTGGTGCTCTCCCGGACAAGTGAAAATCCACACGTTCGGTTGTGGGTGAAGATTACAATACCTACATGTTTTATGTTCGCTAAGAGAGTTACTGGCCACAAAACCTCTCTTATACATTCTGTCAGAATGACGACTGATTTGAGTTTAACCAGACTTTACTGAGGTACACAGTTAGAAACGTACTTGGCGATAAGCCAGTCCAAAGCATGACATGATTGGTAACTGAATATAGGCCGGCTATTTCTTTACAGAAGATGCGATATGCATTAAACAGAGGAAGCAACCTCTTAGGGAAGCAACAATAAACGCTGTGGACTATCACAGTAGATAAATGCCTGTAAATACAGGTGGTGGCATTGTACATTCGACTTGAGGAAATGCTACTATTGATTCCGAGAAATTTCTCTCCAATTAATATACCTAACGGTATAAGAATTATTTGTACTCTGTAAAGGTTATACCTTATTATTCAGTCTATGTTGACTTTCTCAGAGATTCTATTTTCATCATTTCTTGGGGAGATGACATTTTCGAGTTTTACTTTATTGATAACTGGGGATACATGGCATGTTATTTCTTGTCTACAAAGTTTTCAGGTTTGAGTTTATAAAGTGGGAATACAGATACTATTCCTTTATACTTCAGACAACTCCACACATTCATTAGGGATACCAGTGAATAAGAGGTTGTTATGCTAATACAACGAGGAAGTTGCATCGTTTTTTTTTTTTATGTCTTTAGAATTATTGACTATTAGTTATTGTATGCATGTCACGTTTTCATTATACTGCATGAATTTTATGATGTTACATGTTATGTTGTATGCTTTCAGTACGTGGCTAGATGTTCACATAAGGTTTAGTTAGGTAGCGGGTATAATTAGAGTAGTTTTCATAAAATTGAAGATAGGAAACAATTTTGTTAAAAAGTGTGTAGGGCGAATGTAATGAAATATAGGCAGAAAGGGGTTAAATGAACAAGCATACATTTCAGCCCACCACACGGCGTACTAATCCATCACTATGTGAAATGACAGAATGGGTGATTAGAAAGCCATGGCCTAGCCAGCTATGCAGAACACACCGCCATGACATCTGACAGTGAGGGATGAAACATTCGACGAGTGCCCGTGAGCTGTGACCAGCTGACGAGATACGTTCATCCAAACGTGACCACCAAGGACAGGTGACAGGGGAGTGATTAAGATGGTACACCAGGAGGAGCGGGAAAGCGGTGGAATAAAGTCAGAGCCAGGGGCTTGAGAAGTTAGTTAGCCCCGGAACCGCCATGAGAAGACAGTTAGGGCTAGACCGCTAGAGAAACCGGTTAGGAGAAAACTAGTGCTTTATTTCGTTTAGAAGGTATATGTTAAACTTGGAGTTTAGCCAGAACAGTGGTTAAGGAACTCGTAGAGGCATACGAATAGCCAGTAATAAGGAGTGTTCATATACTATTGCTTATTGAATTTATGAAATGTGTGTGACGAGAATATTATGAATAAACCAGCTCTTATGTAATTGATTACATCACTGGCCTTGTTCTTGAGTACGATTTAAGAGAGATACGAACCATATTTATTCCACTTGGCCGACTTAGGCACATCTATTTCTTGGGGGATGTATAGGCACGACTGTGCCACACTTTCTTCGAAGGCAGAGTGCATCTGTCTGAGAGGCAAGGAACCAACAGTCTGCATACAAATAAGTCAGATCTGTAAAACGGGTGCTCATGCAGCACTCAGGTTCTGGTACAGGACTACAGTCCAGAAGTGGACGAAAGACCAGAACTTTCAACCGAAGTTTACAGATGGTGAACGCGAAGAAGAAGAAGAAGAATGGGTAATATGTTGAATAATAGAGATGTTTATCTGACCTATCCATACATATTATGTACACATTTAATGCTTTTTTAGTATATATATCTTGAGAAAATACGAAATACTTTCTGAACATCTCTCAGATTACAGACTGAGAGATTGATCGAGTATAAGAATAATGTATTATCATGTTGTGTATGTTTCCAGGATATGTGAAAACACACACACACGCACACACTTACCACATGTATTGGCAAGGCAACACAAAAAATTTTTGAACACATTACTGAAAATCAAATATATTGTTTAAAACCAAGTTTTATATTTTTCATTATATTTTACTTTTAATTCAAACACTAACCAGTGATAGCTGCAGAATCCTACAGTCATGGGACGAAATTCAATTGCACTTTAAAACGGATGCCTAATGAAATTGATAAACAGTAAATGTAAATAGGTTCATAAAGTTGAGAAAGTAACAGACATGTCCGCATGGTCGCTTGTATTATCAGACATGTGGGGAAGCAGAAAGTTTTACATTTGGGCGTATGGTGGAGAGAAATAAACAGAGAATTACTTGATATCTGTGCAGATGGGGAGAATAGGGACAGAGGAAACAACTTTCGACTGTAAAACCGTACAACCAATTTGTGTTAAGCTCTTTAACTTTCATCTGCAATCCTTTATCGACAGTTTATTAATCAGCTTGCATGCGGTGTTGTTTTCGTTGTGTTTTCTTTTGTATTATCGAATAAATTTCCCACAAATGCACCCATGCTCATTCTTTTTGTGTTTCAGTCTTCACTACTACAAGTACAACTGGTAGGTATATTTATTGTTGCTTAGTCAGACTCTCATAGTATGTATACAGCCTCGTGTCTTTTGTTTGGTTCAATATTTCTGTAAAATGACTTTTTTTTCCCCTCAACTTAAGGTATCATGGGCATATAAGGCTAGACCTATATTTTAGAGACCATAGAGCACTTACCACGACATAAGAAGCTCAAGACAGCTCCGTCAGTGGGAAAGCTCATGATCACTGTCTGTTGGGACATGGAAGGTTTGGTTCTTGTACGGATGGGTGACATTATGCTTCTGGCTAGCTTTTCTAGAAGTCACTAGACGGGAAAGCCACTTGGAACGTGGTTGACGTGCATTTATTCCGTCACTGCATTGTTTTAGCGAGATTAGAAGCTTCTAGAAGGCTGTGATGTTCTTGGTGATTTCAGTTGCATTTCATTGCAGGCAGTCAGCGTCATGCCCCTGCTACACAAGAACGAGAATACTGGAAACGTTCTCTGGTCGCAACATTTTGTTAACACGAATCATGCACTGCAATTTCCTATTATAAAGCATAAGGTATATATTTATGTAGGCACACACATGTAAAAAGACCGTTGCCCTTATTGCATATTGGGCATATAGGGCTAGTCCTATATTGTATAGAATAATGGGGACTGGATGTGTGATGTGGTCAACATAACGCCAGCCGCTTATCATGTCCAGCATTTGACATGGTTGACGTTTCAGCCCGTGTCCACATGGGAGCCAAGGTCTTTGTTGAAAGCACACTAAAGAGTCCGCCATCGTCAGGACTTGAACCAACGACCTTAAATATGTAGGCGAGCGTCCAGCGGTTCACGTACACACTCATATATATATATATATAAACACATGCACATCTGTATGCACACATACACACATATATACATACATATTGTTTACAGCTCGCTCTTTAGACAGAACAATTAAGAAAGCCAGCAGTGCCTTTTCCATGAAGACGCAGGTGATGCGATGACACAGGCTTTCGTGTGGCTTGGATCACAGGACTATTCCCGTATGTGTGTGTGTGCTGAGCGATTCTTTGAGCCTGATCTAGTGGGTCCAGGCAGGCTGGTTAAGCAGACTGTGGCTTGAGTCGATGCAAAATTATCCTGTGTGTGCAGTTACCTTGATATTCGTCCCAGGTCATGCAGGCGTTGTTAGTAATGAAAGAGCTGATAGACTGGCATGTGCTGCATTAATTGAAGATAGCCGGCCAATTGATCACGCAGAGATTGTCATTGCCCTTAGAGAGATAGGACATTCTGAGGATTTTAGAAGCAACGTGTCCACATCACTGCTAAGAATACGCTAATTGGAAGAGTAAAGATTGGCACAGCCAAGCATGTGGAGCACACCGGACGCACACGAAGTCTTGTTAACCAACATATGACTGGTACTAGTAACCGAACGACGCTGATGAATATGTTGAGAGGGGAATCTGAGCGCCTATGGATGTGTCCAGAGTGCTGTGAAGATAATCTAACTGATAACTCATATATATATATATATATATATATATATATATATATATATATATATATATATATATATTTTATCTAATAACCGCCCCATGTCAGGTGTTGTGAGTTCTTTCTTTGTGTTGCAGAAACTACAGACACGGCTCGGACAACTGGTTAGTTATTTGTGTAACCTTTACATTACATAAACTGTCTACAGGTGGGACGACATTTTATTTATTTTCAAGGCTCAGCCTGACTCTTGCCAGGAGCTCTAATGTAACCTAAAGTTTGAACAGAGTATCTGGGACCTATCCACGTGTGATGTTCATCCGCATGGTGGCACTTTGTTTCACCGGGTGTTTATCCCCAGTGTGATATCCTCTGGGGTAAAAAGTCAGTCAGTCTGTAACGTATAACTCGAGTTTGTATATGATGCCTGTCATCGTAAATTGCAAAATCCAACATGTGAATACTAAAGAGCACCAAGAGATATGTATACAGTTTCAGGCAGCAGGTATCACTGATTTAAATTTATGGCTAGTCTGTCTCCCACTTGATAGTGGTTGCTCATCGTCCATAGCATGTTAGTCGTTGGTTATGCAATTCTTGTAAAATCTGTCTCCAAAAAAAGGTGGAGGGGCGGAGGTGGAATAAAAAATAAATATTGCTCAAGCATACAGTTCCTATAAATTATGTGTATACGATTTGTTACAATACATATCGACGTTTTAACCGGCGGCCTTTTTCGAACTTAGTTTTTATTTTTATTTTCGAGAAAGGTCGCCGCATTAAACGTCAATTTGTGTTGTGTTCACGTTTTTGTAGCCCTAATTCACTGGAAAGCCTGAACGGAATATACAGTTTTGACCAGCAAGTACTTAGTATTCTAATCTTGTGTCAGTCTGCGTTGCTCTCTCGGTGCCCTGACATTCGTAAAAAAAAAAAAAAAAGTAAGTGGTATAGGACGACCAACCCTGACGTCTTGAATGCAGTTCTTGTACGCCTTGCTGAGTTAATTGATCTTTTTTGCTCTTGATCTTGGCGGCGCATAGAGCAGAAACCATCGCTCTCCATGTCTGCCGGTTCATTGCCACCTACTTTATGTCCTACATGTTTGTTAGGCCCATGGTTGAGCGATACCTGATGATGGTTCTACGTAAAGTCTCTCTTGGTCTCCCTGTTCTCTCTTCCCTGCCTGAGTGCTTGATGAGGAAGTCTTGGTGTATTTATTATGAGTGCATGTAAATAAAACTGGATACATTATCTTGCTTGGTCGTATTTGCGCATTAGATCTAAAATCTGACCAACTGAGATTTAGTATTCTAGTGCTATCATTGCTTTCCAACTCTCGCTGCAATAAGTTAGAACTGGAATCACACAAGAGTTAAAGATCTTAAGTTGTGTGTGATTGCAGAGTGTCTTTGACTTCCAGATGTTTGACAGTTTGTTAAAGACACTAGATGCCAGTGTTACTCTAGATGATATTTCTGGCGCTCAGTTCCATGTCGATGGCATCTAACTTCCTATATATGTAAAGCTGTAAATTTTTTCAATAATTTGATTGTTTAGTTTGAAGTCGCCTTGCTGAATTAATACGTACTCCTAATTCCATTGCGTTTAACTGTGAGTGTTTTGACCAAGTCAGGGGTGTGACCAAAATACGAAGGAAAGTCAACAACTAGTTCACAAACAATTATAGGATCTTAGGAAAATGTAGTTGGTGGTTTTCTAAAAGCGCAATCAGATGACAGCAACATCGAACTTTATGTCTGCGTTCGTTAGGTGGCGCTAGGTGTTGCATGCGCTTTGACAACACAGAAACGAAAAAGGTACTTGCAAAATGCGTGTCTGCAAAGTACATTCATAAGGAAATGCTTCCTCATTATGCTGACAAATGTTTAAACAGGTTAAAAAAAAAAAGAATTCAAGGACGCTCTAAAATTATGAAGTCTGATCTGACGTCCTGTTAAGATAAAAAGAGAGGCATCGGTACAGCGTGTGGAGAAGCTAATTTGAGGTGACAGGTGAGTAACAGTTGACTCTTTAGCAACTGCAATAGGGTGCTCATTTGGTTCAGCATACAATATAATGCATGGTCGATTGAAATTTACGAAAGTGTGCTCAAGGTGGTTACCCAGACAAATGATGGCCGAACACAAAACAAAGCACGTTTGGCAGGACTGATAAGACGATGGTAAAAGTGCATCAATGTTGGTGGAAATTATGTTGAAAATTTAAAGGGACAGTGTATGTGTAAAAATAGGCGGTTTTCGAATTGCTGTCGCCTTTATTTTTTTGTGTGTTTGTGAGAACAGTGCCCCCACTGGGCGGTTTGTCCAGCCATTGTTTCTGTGGGAGCGGTGCCCCCACTGTGCGGTTTGTCAAGCCATTGTTTCTGTGAGAGCGGTGCCCCCACTTGGCGGTTTGTCTAGCGAATTGTGTCTGTGAGAGCAGTGCCCCCACTGGGCGGTTTGTCCAGCCATTGTTTCTGTGAGAGCGGTGCCCCCACTGGGCGGTTTGTCCAGCGAATTGTTTCTGTGAGAGCGGTGCCCCCACTGGGCGGTTTGTCCAGCGAATTGTTTCTGTGAGAGCGGTGCCTCCACTGGGCGGTTTGTCTAGCGAATTGTGTCTGTGAGAGCGGTGCACCCACTGGGCGGTTTGTCAAGCCATTGTTTCTGTGAGAGCAGTGCACCCACTGGGCGGTTTGTCCAGCGAATTGTTTCTGTGAGAGCGGTGCCCCCACTGGGCGGTTTGTCCAGCGAATTGTTTCTGTGAGAGCGGTGCCCCGACTGGGCGGTTTGTCCAGCGAATTGTGTCTGTGAGAGCAGTGCCCCCACTGAGTGGTTTGTCCAGCCATTGTTTCTGTGAGAGCAATGCCCCCACTGGGCGGTTTGTCCAGCCATTGTTTCTGTGAGAGCGGTGCCCCCCCCCCCCACTGGGCGGTTTGTCAAGCCATTGTTTCTGTGAGAGCGGTGCCCCCACTGGGCGGTTTGTTCAGCCATTGTTTCTGTGAGAGCGGTGCCCCCACTGAGTGGTTTGTCCAGCCATTGTTTCTGTGAGAGCAATGCCCCCACTGGGCGGTTTGTCCAGCCATTGTTTCTGTGAGAGCAATGCCCCCACTGGGCGGTTTGTCCAGCCATTGTGTCTGTGATAGCATTGCCCCCACTGGGCGGTTTGTCCAGCCATTGTTCCTGTGAGAGCCGTGCCCCCCCCCCCCACTGGGCGGTTTGACCAGCCATTATTTCTGTGAGAGCGGTGCCCCCACTGGGCGGTGTGTCCAGTTACTGCCTCTACTCAGGCATAGAACATTTAAATTTGAGAGAAGAACTGAAACCTCAACTGCTCGCTGATCAGAAGGAAAAGACCCTAAGCGGTTTCTCTACTCGTATCCAGGAAACATCCTGCAAGCTAGTAGAGCGACGGAGGCGCCTTTCACGTTCTTCCGCTGGTGTTTATCTTACCCGGCTTATAATAATTCACCATATTTAGACATGTTTAGAATTTCTTTCTCCTATTAAATCTATGGCTTCTATCATTTGTATATTTTGCTACACACTTGATGTTAACACAATCAAGAGATGGCTTTAAAAAAATTTTTGAAAGACATAAATTATTTGTCAGCTTAACAAAACCAGTTTAAACAAACAAACAATAGGGTGTTTCGGGGATTAGTCTTTTTCTGCAAATAATGATATCAAAGAAATCAAAATGTTAAGGCCAGATTTCTTTCCTCTAAGGTTCGGAGAATTATGGGGAGTCAGACATTTTTGGGACTGCGTTCTGGCTTATTGTAGCAATCATTGTGCTGTCCGTCATATTAGCATTGTTGTTATTCTTGGGGATAAACAGAAGAAACAGGAAAAACAGGAGAAATACTGCAAACACGGGACGCAAAGGTAATTTTAACCAGTAATGTAGGCTTGCTCAAACACCTGCTTAGACTCAAGTGTGAATGGGTGAATGTGTGAGTGATTGAGTAAAGGAGTAAATGAAGAACTATATGAGTGTGTGAAAACGTAAATGGTTGAGTGAATAGGTGGGTAAATGAGTTACTGAGTGCGTGAATGGGTATGTGAATGCGTAAGTAAGTGAGTCATTGAGTGTGTGAAAGAGTGAAGAGTGCATTACTCAGTGCGAGAATGAGTAAGTGAGTGAATGGGTGAGTGAATGGTTGAGTAAATGGGTGCGTGAATGGCTGAGTGAAAGGCTGAGTGAATGAGTGAGTAAATAGGTGAGTAAATGGGTGAGTGGGTAAATGCAACTTTAATCTTCCCACGCCCCGACTATATTCACACTAGGTCACTTCTGATTGGTAGTTTCTGTACCTGTCACCTTCGCACAAGGTTACGGGTGGTGTTCCGCGATGCCGTTGATATATTGTGTTGTATATTTTAGCAAACCCCTCCAAAAACATGGAGCACTGGCCCTAACACAACACCCCTAAGAGAATGCTGCAACGTATATCACAGACATTCTCTTTCTCGGAATGAAAACGTAAATGGAAGACAACACAGAAACCAACAACAGAGCGGGACACATCCGTAACCTTCAGCAAGTCAAACCGTTTAACAAACTTGTGAATGACAAATGACCTAGTGCGTAAATGGGCGGGATTAACTATGTTTGGGGAGATTATCGTGATGTTTACCGGGTGAGTGAACAGGTGAGTGAATGGGTGAGTGAATGGTTGAGTGAATGGGTAAGTGAATGGGTGAGTGAATGGGTGAGTGGATGGTTAAATGAGTGGGTGGGTAAGTGGGTAGGTGAATGTGTGTGTGAATGAGTTAATGGGTGAGCGAATTAATGAGTGAGTGAGTAAGTGGGTGGGTAAGTGGGTGGGTGAATAAGTGTGTGAATGAATGAGTGAGTAAACAGGTATGTGAATAGGTAAGTGAGTCATTGGGTGAATCTTAATCGCCCCAAGGCCCGCCCATACACACACATGGTCACTTCTGGTAGTTACTGAGCCTTCTGTCCTTGGCACAACGTCATAGCAATGTTCCGCGATATCGTTGATATAGAATGTATTTTTTTACGCCAGAGAAAGTGACCCTAACACAATTTCCCTAGAGATTGCTGCAACCTATGTCACAGGCATTCTCTTACTGGAGTGAAAACGTGAATGCAAGTCAACGCACAAAGCAAACAACAGAGCGGGACACACCCGTAACCTTCAGGAAAGTCGACTGGCCCACAAACTTGTGAATGAAAAATGACCTACTTTGTTTAGGGAGATTAAAGTTACTTTGACCGGATGAGTGAATGGGAGAGTGAATGGGCGAGTGAGTGGTTGAGTAAATAGGTAAGTGAATGGGTGAGTGACAGGGTGAGTTAATAGGTGTGAATATGTGAGTGAGTGGGTGAATAAGTGGGTGCTTAAAGATGTTAGTGAATAGGTGAGTGAGTGGGTGAGTGAATGGTTGAGTGAACTGATAAGTAAGTGAGTGCGTGAATGGGTGGGTAAGTGAGTGAACTGGTTTTGTGAATGGATATGTGATTACCTTAATGAGTGAGTGAATGGGTGAGTAAATAAATGAATAAGTGAATGCGTGATTGAGTGAATGGGTGAGTGAATGGGTAAGTGAATGGGTGAGTGGATGGGTGAGTGAAAGGGTAAGTGAATGGGTGAGTGAATGAGTGAGTGAATGGGTGAGTGAATGGGTGACCGGGTGATTAGATGAGTGACTGAATCAGTGAGTGAAGGCGGGAATGGGTGAGTGAATGAGTGAGTGAGTGAATGAATGAGTAAATCGGTGAGTGATTGAGTGAGTGAATGAATGAATGAGTGTGTGAGTGAATGAGTGAATGAGTTCATGAATGGTTAAGTGAATAAGTGAGTAAGTACATGAATGAGAGATCGAATGAGCTAGCGAAGCTGAACTAGCGCTACACACCAAGCGATTTAAACTAAGCGGCTGGAAAAAGCCGCTCGTCGGAAGGGAATAGTAGAAATTCCAGAAAGGTTTGTAACAGAATGACACAGTTATATAGATGTACGAGACGGTTACAACATGATCAGTAGTTACACTGGGAGGAGTTCGATAACCTTAATGGATTTCAGATAATATAAGGATCCATAAAGTTGCTAAAATCTGAGTTTCAGACTAAAATCCGTTTCACTATGTTAATAGAATGGGTAAACGTGCAGCTAATTCATAGGTATAATTACTTGTCAAATATCACACGTCAACATTTGCTAAAGCCATCAATTATAAGACTGAACACAGTCAACAAATTATGGGGCAATATAGAGCACAGATGTCAGAGTCATTGGCGTCACACAACTGAGACACTTTTCCACGGCGTAGCATAAGTAAGAAAGCAGTTTCTGGAACATCAAAAAAATTACGAAGGTAGGTTCCAGAAATCGCAGAACTTCAAAGGGAGTTTCTGGGGCGTCAAATATCCAAGAAAGCAGTTTCTGCCGCGTTACATAACTAAGAAAGCAGTTTCTGGAACATAAAAAAATTAGGAAGGCAGTTTCCAGAGCGTCGCAGAACTTAAAAGGCAGTTTCTGGGGCGTCACATAAATAAGAAAGTAGTTTCTGAGGCTTCACGTTACTTAGAAAGCAATTTCTGGGGCGTCAGATTACTAAGAAGGAAGTTTCTTGGGTGTCAGGCAACCAAGAAAGCAATTTCTGGGCGTCAGATAACTAAGAAGGACGTTTCTGGGGCGTCAGGTAACTAAGAAGGCAGTTTCTGGCGCGTCACATAACTAAGAAGGCAGTTTATTGGGCATCAGAAAACCTATAAGAAGCTAAAAAAAAAAAAAACAGAAAGGAAAGAAGATTATTGTAGCTGAGGTAATTAGACTTCAAACAAGAATTGATAAAATAAACGCCACATATGGTTGTTGTCTGGTAACACGAATGTGCCAAGATTTATCTCCATAATATTGTCATATTGTGAAAAATATGTACGACGATAATTAAATGTAAAACGTCCAAGTATTGTTCAAGGTCAGTCCTTGTATACTGGGCCACGTCGCTAAAGTCACAGACAGTAAAAATCTATAAAAACTGTTGTGTGGGACAATGAATGGAATCATTGTCTAAATAGAGCTGTCAGATAGTGTGCCAAAAAAATGCTTGTTGTCCTTCCCCTCCTTCTCTTCCCATAAAAGTCATCCCAGAACGAGCTTCATCTCTGCGACACAGCTCAACCCTAGCGATCCCTGAAACCAAGCCATCTCATACAAGTTATACATTTACAGAAGAGGACGCTATAAGGTAAAGTGTAGGCTCAGTACTGTAATACATTTTTTCTTTTTCTCTATTTCTTTCATTTGTTTTTGTCTTTTTTTTTTTTGGTACTTGTTCTTGCGTTTGTTCTTTTTCTTCTTGTTATTCTGTTTCTTCTCGTTCTTCTGCATCTGCTTCTTTTTCTTTTCCTTATCTTCTTCTTCTTCTTCTTCTAGCTATTGTGTTTTAAATACATATGCGAGTACGTGTTTTATGTGCGTGTACGTGTTTTGTGTGTGTGTGTGTATGCGTGTGTTTGTGTGTGTGACCTTTTAATCAGTTCTTTGAAGTGTTATGTGTATGTGCATGTGTAATATTGTTTGAGCAGGTATTTTGCATGTCTGGCTGTGTATATATCTGTGGTGTACAAATGTAGAATGTGTGAGTGTATGGGGTCTGTAGATGGAAGAGAGAGAGAGAGAGAGAGAGAGGGGGGGGGAGAAAGAGAGAGAGAGAGAAAGGTCGAGTGAGAGAGGTAGAAAGAGAGACATAAAAAGAGAAAGAGAAAGAGAGAGAGAGAGCGAGAAAGAGAGAGAGAAAGAGAGAGAGAGAGAGAGAGAGAGAAAAAAAAGAGGGAGAGAGAAAGAAAGAGAGGGAGAAAGAGAGAGAGAACGAGAGAGAGAGAGAGGGAGAAAGAGAGAGAGAGAAAGAGAAAGAGGGAGAGAAAGAGAGAGAATAGACGAGAGAGAAGGAGAAAGAGAGAGAACGAACGAACGAATGAACTTTATTTTCAAAGGGTTACAAATTAGGTACGCAGGCCTGTATTACATTCGGCCCTTCCAAACTCTCATCTTTCACACAGCAGTTGTATTTCATTAATAAAGCATCTTATGTTCATGTAATAATATGCATACTGTGAATATCAAGTCAAAAACAAAAGCATGGGTGGTAAAATATGTTCGCCCGCTCGCGCGCGAACACCCACACCCACACACACACGCAAACCCATTCACTCACAAAAACACACACATACTCACCCAATACACACACACTTCCACATACTTACGAACATACACACACACACACACATACATACATACATATATACATACATACATACACTCATACACACTGTCACCCACACAGACATGCGCTCTAAAACACACACGCATACAACCCAGACACATATAGACACACACAGCTACATACACACACACACATACATACACACACGTAGCCGCACACAAAGACCTATACAAACAGACACGTCCGACGCACACAGACAAAAACCCACACAGACACACACACATAATACACACACGTAGCCGCACAAAAAGACCCATACAAACACACACACCGACGCACACAGACATAAACCCACAGAAACACACACGCATGCAGTCACAGTCACACACACAAACACATACACACACGTAGGCAGGGAAACACACAGATACACACACAGGCACGCATACAGTCAATCACGCACACATATGCACACAGACATACAGGCAGACGCATAAACCAAAACAAACTGAGACACGCAGACATCGTATAATAGATACACCGATAGAGGCACCCATAGATACACACAAAGCCACACACACAGTCACTTACAGCCACAGACACACAAACAGACACATAATGGCACACACACACACATACATATAAATACACTCACAGATGCACAGACACTCACACAGACACACGCGCAGGCGCACACACATTATCAAAAAGACCCATACACAAATACCCAAGAAGCCATACACACACAGAGACACACGCAGACATTATAAAATAGACACACCCATAGAGACTCACACAGACACACACAGAGCCACACACACAGACACACACAGAGCCACACACACAGACACAGATACACATGCAGCCACATACACAGACACACCTACAGACACATAATGGCACACAGACACACACACACTAACACACAGAGAAAGAGAGAGAAAAAAAAAGAGAGAGAATGAGAGAGAGAGAGGGAGAAAGAAAGAGAGAAAGAGAAAAAGAGAGACAAAGAGAGAGAGAGGGAGAAAGAGAGAGAGAGAAAAAACGAGAGAGAGAGAGGGAGAAAGAGCGAGAGAGAAAGAGAGAGAGGAAAAGAGAGAGAGAGAGAAAACGAGAGAGAGAGAGAGAGAGAGGGAGAAAGACAGAGAGAGAGAGAAAGAGAGAGAAGTAGAAAGAGCGAGAGAAAGAGATAGAGAGAGAGAGGGAGAAAGCGAGAGATAGAGAGAGAGAGATATAGAGAGAGATAGAGAGAGAGATAAAGAGAGATACTATCGCAGCATTTTTGATTTCTTCGCAGCACTGTGTCTGGTTCGGTTGCTGAGTATGGATCAGACATAAACTAGCCTTTCCTTGACTTAAATCCCACGGACTACTAGGGTACGGTTGTTTCTGTCCCATGTATCTATGTGTGTATCTATGTATGCCCTTTGTGATAGGCGGGTTTCGGCTCCATGTATTTATATAGGCCATCTATGCTAAGGTGGTTTCCGCGGTATGTAAATCAATAGGACATCTAGGATAGGGTGGTTTCCGCTTCATGTATTAATATATGGCATCTATAAAATGGTGGTTTCTTCTTCATGTATTTAAATGTGCTATCTATGGTAGGGTGATTTCCGCTCATTGTATTTATATGTGACATCTATGATAAGGTGGTGTCCACTCTTTGTATTTATATGTGACATTTATGATAATGTGGTTTGTTCTCCATGTGTTTTAAAATTGACAACTAGATATGAAATTTAGAATATTGAAGTTTCCCCTTTGTGGCTGGGATATATGGCTGGCAGATGTGGCTGGCAGATATGGCTGGGAGATGTGGCTGTGAGATATGGCTGGGAGATGTGGCTGGGAGATGTGGCTGTGAGATATGGCTTGGAGATATGGCTGGGAGACCCACAAAGCTTCATTTGCGATGTTATGTACTGTTGACGGCAGAGCTCGTAATTGCTTTGAATAGGCTCACCGAGGAATGTCAAGTTGGCAGTGCCAGTCTGGCGGTGATGGCTTTTTGGCTGTCTGCAGCTGCAGGCGGCACAGAAGTGAGTCATAGATGCATGTGGATCGGTTTTGATGAAGATGTTCCATAACTCTATCGGTCAAGATGGCGGCCTTAGTATGTCCGCATGACCACTCCGTCAATTCGGAGTAAATCTTTTAAAAGAAATTAAATTTAAAATTGGCGGTGTTCAGGTGTCGCTGTCTCACCGATGTATATATTTAATGTTTAGTTTATGCCAATAGTTGTGATCTTGATTGTTTCTTTGAACGGTATTTTGATGAACAACCAAGTTCAGTGACACAAAGTCTTTTTAATTGAAAGTTTCAAGCTCGACATTTCTGTGGATATTCTGTTTTCAATTGACTGATTCACGATCTTACTTGTTCGGCGAATTATGTCGCCCTTTTATTTTAACATTATTAATCGTTTGGGGGAAAGTCCCACCAGACGTCTTGTGGTCGGTTGCCAGTTAGGAAGCCTATACACTTGAGCAATGTGTGAACCAAAGGGATCGAGGATTGTCACTGATGAAAATACGACTCCGGAGTCAACGAACCAACAAACGTTTATTTTTAAAGGGTTTCAAACTGGGCACTCAGGCCCGCCTTATATTCAATCTCTCCGATCACTCATCGTTTGCACAGCAATTGTATTTTATCAAAGGAAGCATAATATGAATATCAAAAAGGGAGTGGGGGATACAAACAGCGATTACAACAAGTAAACAGGGAAACTTGGAATCTAAAATTAAAAAAAAAAGGCACTCACTCAACCATGAATAGCCACTGAGTAAGACTACATCGTGAACAAGACACACACACATACACACACGCACACACGCACAACACACACACACGCACACACGCACATCACACACACACACACACACACAGTGTTTACTCGTTATGGTTACAACACAAACAAGAAATCACCTTCCGTTGATGTACTAGTTTCCAGAAGATGGCAATATACACAAATCAGTTATCCGGAAAAAAAAACATGAATTTCAAGCTACTGTAGTAAATCCCCGACTGTCATAAACTTTCTGTGACAACAGGAAAACGCACTATGGAAATGACATGTGATTATTTCAGTGAAATTGTGCTTCATTTTGTGTTCATGAAGCTCTGTAGTAAATCACCTGACGAGAAATATACGTGGCAGTATGTTGCAAACTGTGATTGTGTCCACATTATTGAATTTACTACGAAAAATAGTGATAACACATGGCATCATCATCTGTACTGCTAGCCTTCCTTCCCACCTGGAATGTTGGACTGAGCCGCGGCGATGTCTGCCATAGTGTTATCTGGAGCACAAGGTTGAGATCAGACATGGCACTGCACTCTTCCACTGCTGGCCAGTCAGCACTGATTGAGCACACAGTTCATGTGCTGTAGTAATTCACTTGCTGATTGTAGTTACTTCACATAGCTTTCATTCCATCAAATGTTCACATTACACATAACTGTACATATATATTTATATAAACATGTTCCTCACTTTTCCATTTAATTTTTTCTAGCAGGCAGTTCATCGAATGACGCAAATCAAGTGCACGAGTCGGGGTTTCATTTTGCATTTTAGTTATGTACAAATTATTATGTTAATCCTTTTTTTTGGTTGTTATTATTATTATTCGGAAAACATATAACTGATAATAAAATTGTCTGTTTGGTTGTTTTATGTTTGTTTGCATAAATATAACGCGTATGTAATTACACGTGAGAGCTTCTGAAGTAATTTCACGTGATAAGTCGGAGAGTGTATGAATGAAAGCCGGGAAGCCAACAGTCTGCATACAAATTAGCCCGATCCGTAAAATTGATCTATGAAATACTCAAGTTTTAGGAACAATACGAAAGTCCAGAAGTTGACGAACCAAAACTTTCGCCTGGAGTTTACAATGGGTGAACGCTAAGAAGGGAAGGTATGTTGTATAAATGCCTGACGCTGACAAGTGATATCATAATGTCAGCTGACAATAAGTATGCAAAATAGACCCAGTTATTTATAATAATAATTTTGTAATTGGTCGTGTTACATAGGAGGCAAGCCAATTTCGCTAATTTTCAAAATGAAATCTGTTTGCTTATCACATGCATATTTCTTTCCCTAAACAATTCAAATTCACCCTTGTCAAAAATCAATTTCATCCTTTCATAAAAAAAATTCACCGTTTTGCAAATCATATTCACCCTGTCGTAATTCAAAGCTGTTCAATAAACAAACTGATCTATCTTAGTGAAAATAGAATCTCATTGCATTTTTTTCTCATACAAATAACCTTTAATTACATGTTTGAACTAATTAACATAAAATACTTATTTACCTTAAGAACAACGTAATAATTTACTCACAATTGGCAAGCCAGATTCACCATATTGCAAATCCAGTTCACCATTTTGTAAATCCAAATCAACCTTAAACACATTACATTCCCCTGTAACATTCAAAGCTATCATTATGCAGGTAAGTGCCTGATTTAGCGCTGATCACATATCATCCTAATAATGTGAACAGTGCATGAGTGGTTAGCGGATGCCTCCGGAGAAATAATTACGTATCGTACTGGCTACTACAACTAATTCTATAATCCCGGCTACACAAAAGAAATGCTTGTCACAGTTATGCAGATAACTTTTAGTGTCCTCATAGGTCCACGGTTGTAAATCCAACATGTCTAATGTGTGTTCCAGTCGAAAAGTACTATTAGGTAGTTACCCAACATTGATTAACGCTGATCACATATCACTAAAAATGACCAGTGCATCCATTCACGGATGCCTCCGGAGAAATAATTACGTATCGTACTGGCTACTACAACTAATTCTATAATCCCGGCTACACAAAAGAAATGCTTGTCACAAATATGCATAACTACTAGTGTCCTCTCCACGGTTGTAAATCCAGTCTATGTGAAGCGAAAAACTATTCCCACATTTTAACGGCACTAAAAAGACCCATCCATTCACTGGACTGTCAAACAACTAACACGTTACCCTGTTTGTCAGTCCCCTTGCGGGTCCCCACTCAGTTACCTTTACAACCGGGTCAACACCAGTAATTGACCAGTAATTGACCTGTCTGCTGTTGTGAGTCAGTCTAGTCGTTGTTTGTTTTTCTGGTAAATTTTACGCTCGTCTCCCCATTAGCACACCGACACACACTTGCTGTCTTCTGATTGGACGACCTACTGACCAGCTTACTTCTAATAGGACGGCCTCGAACAATCCGACTGTCACAAAAGGTCACAGGGATATCCGCATTCTCGCGTCGTATATTTCACCATGACAGAGCCTTTAACACTTCTAAAACAATTCGAGACTGGGTCTAACACACAACCCTCCTATAGAGTGACAAAACCTGTCAAAGGCCGTCTCTTTCTCGGGAAAAAAATGTAAATGCCAGACAACAACAGACTACGACACCCATAACCTCGACCACGGTAGACTAGTCCAACCAACTTTTCAATGGAGTTGACCACGGCTTGACCTACAACCGGTGATGTGCTAATGGGGAGAGGAGAGTAAAATTCACCTTCTTTCTGTCACAGTGTGCGGTAAAGTTGACTCATGACAGGGGTATATTAAAAAAATAGTTCTGGCTCACTTCTAAAGAGCAACAATAAGAGCCATCAACCTGTTGCGACCTTTCGCAGTGGTGGTAACCTATTTTTACAATTTAGAAGGATACATCCTCAAATGGCGCTAGACAATGTTTATTGATGTAAGACTCGGTGTTTGCCTATGCAGACTGTGTCGATGTGTTTGATGGTGAAAAGTGTATCTAGATCCGGCGGGTATACCCGTAAATACGGTTATGGGGGAGAGAAACAATTAGGGAGTAGATAAAAAATGTAGGCGTACAATAACCAATATCGTAGATGGCCTTGGATATAAGGAATCCCTGACAGCACCTGTGGCAGTCCTATTCAATAGATACGAACATAAAATCGATTTAGAAACTTTTTCTTGTCAGCGGAAACCAAATGAGAAGTATGGGGTGTTAAGTGAAGAAAAATACAGCATAGAGCACTAAAGAAGCATATAGTATAGAACAATAACGAAAACATGTAGTATAGAGCAATAACGAAACATATAGATAAACATACTAAACTCCGCAGACAGGCGGATAGCCAAAGGGAGTCGCACACACACGCACACACATGCACACACATACACACGTACAACTACACACACCGTAATTGCTTGTAACCTGGATCGTGTCATAGTCATAAGTAAAAATAAAAGTAAAGCAGCATTGTCTCCGATTTCAGGCGTATTAGGCATACACGGCTAGATTTAAAGTTTACAGACAATCGACCCTCGGTGGGTGATG